CCCCCCCCCCCCCCGCCGCTTGCCCCTCATAGAAACTTCGTTAAGAATCTCCTACACCCTGTGTCCTCACCCCCTCCCTGGCACCCACTGGAGTCTGTCCTCCGGCGAATTTACCAAGGAACACACACTTGATTATTCTCTCCTTGGAGCTCTCTTCTCCCCGGATAGGACGACACCACGATCTATGGGGTCTCCATTTACGGGACCGTTTCCATTCTGCCTCCTTCACGGGCTCTTGTCCCCTGACAAACACTTAATCTTTGGTGTTAGGCAAGACTCGGGGCTCTGCACATTTCTCATGTGAAACTGGAAATCACCCTGGGTGAGGGCGGGATTGGGAGAAGACAGGTGAGGGAGGGGTCTCAAGGAGAGTAAGACGAAGGGCAATAGGAAGGCTTAGGAGGCTAAGATTCCATGATCCAGAGCTCAGCCCCGGACCCGGCCTCCTGGAATAGAAGAGGGCCTGTCATATGCTTTTTGCTTTTCTAGGATTTTGCGTTGGAAATTGAGGCAGGGACCTATTGGTGGAAAGAAAACACAGTGAGCAGAGTCACGTGGATCGGCTCTCCGGAGTTCGTCTGACAAACTCTGCTTGACATCAGGAGGTCTGAAGATTGAAAGGGACCCTACTCAGTTGGAATCTTCTCTCTACAAGACAAAACAATACACAGTCTGGTAAGTTCTAACTGGGGAATCAGGGGATGAATAAGAAGAGAGGATACTATTGCCAGAGACAGAAATGTTCAGGATAGATTTGTCAAATGAATAGAAGTGTTTTTGTTTGAGGTGGTTTTTTGGTCCTAATCTGACCCCCAAAGAAAGTAATACTTCTTGCTAAAGTTCTCACTAATAAAGGAGAATTCCTGATAACAATATGCAAGCATGTAAGGCTCAGGGATGTATCTTTCATACATCTTTATCCAGGTCCGGGCTTAGAGAATCTTTTTTTTGTTCTTGTTACTCTCTGTCGTCCATTGATCCCTTGCAGGGCCCACACGAGACAGAATTGAAAGTCACATCAGGGATTTTACTTGATTTGTTGAAAATTCCCTCTTTATTCAACACTCAGTGAATGTTCGAAAACTGAATTCTGTATAACTGGGAAATCTAATTCCTCTTTGCCCAGAAGAGAGCAATTCCAATGAATTACTCTCATTCAATGTGGTCTGTAAAATGCACTTCACATTTTTGTCTACCCAGCTATTCACTATTTATTCATGTCTGCATCCTTACTACGCTGGTTTCGATTACTACCTACACACAGATAACTCAAACACTTGGATCTCCAGGGCATTTCTTAGCTCTGAGCTCCAATCTATATGACTGCCTGGGGTTCATTTCTTTTTTGTGTTTTTTATAAATCTTTTTAATTTTTTTCAGATTTATTGAGATATAAATGACAAATAAAAATTGTATATATTTAAGGTTTACAACTTTACATTTTGATATACGTATATACATTGTGAAATGATCACCGTAATCCAGCTAATAAACATATCCATCACCTCACACACTACCTTGTGTGTGTGTGTGGTCAGAACACTTAAGATACGTCCTCAGCATATTTCAAGTATACGATACAACATTGTTAACTATAGTCACTATTCTGTACATTAGATCTCCAGGATTTTTTCATCTAGTACAACTGAAACTTTGAACCCTTTGACCAATGTCACTCCATTTCCCCCCAGGCCCTGGACACCATCATACTCTCTGCTTCTTCTATGAGTTTAGCTATTTGAGATTCACATACAAATAAGATCTTGCAGGGCTTCCCTGGTGGCGCAGTGGTTGAGAGTCCGCCTGCCGATGCAGGGGACACGGGTTCGTGCCCCGGTCCGGGAAGATCCCACATGCCGCGGAGTGACCAGGCCCGTGAGCCATGGCCGCTGAGCCTGTGCGTCCGGAGCCTGTGCTCCGCAAGGGGAGAGGCCACAACAGTGAGAGGCCCGCGTACCGCAAAAAATAAAAAAAAAAATAAGATCTTGCAGTATTTGTCTTTCTGTGTCTGACTTACAACCTAAATTCACCTCCTATAATGTCCGTCCCTTCGGGAAAAATATCAAGGATCTGTACGAGGTTGCCCACTCTCTTCCCCGCCTCCCAACGGAACTTTGCACTCCCCTTCCATCCTCTCCTAGCAACATGCCCTCCCTGTTTGAGCCTATTAGCAAGAATTTGGTCAAAGAGCTTGGAGACAAAGACCTGAGGCCTGTCAAATACCTGTTGAGCACCAACAAATTCCATCAGCTGGTGCTATTCTGGAAGAAGAAGGGGACGCACGCACAGTCCTGGGGACAACCTGCTGTTCCAGTAGAATATACACCCTCACGGATATCCTGGAGCCAAGTTCCTCAGTCCCAGGTAGTGTCAACCAGGGACGAAGGAGGCAAGGAGTGAAAAACAAGGGTGCTCAGATAGATCCTTGGTGCAACGCCCAAGAATCCCTAAGACACCCGCACAGGTAGATATCAAACCAGCCTTGCCTAAAGGCACAGGGCAAGGAGCTACGATTATTTGAGAATCTACTAACTATCTGGTCCCAGGCACTTTTTTAGCATATTGAATACTTACAGCAGCCTCTGAAGTTAGGAATAATATCTCCATTTGCATAAGAATAATTGAAACTTACAAAATCATTTGTTCAAAGTTAACACACCTGGGAACTGGTAGAATTGGAATCCAGATCAGGTCTGTCTGGCTCCAAATCCCAAACATTTTCTGCTCAGTGAGCTGCATCCTGGGGCTGATGCTGTGCCTGGAAAGATGATGCTGTGTCTCTCCTGGACCACTGTTCAAGTGATGCCATCATTTCTTAGGGTTAGGACGTTATCCCTTGATGAAGTGCTTATTTAACATGCAGGTTCCAGGTTTCTCTTTAGAGAATCTGATTCAGAAGAAGCAGAGTGAGGTCAGGGATTCTGAGTTTTTAACAATCATCCAGGTGATTCTGATGCAAAGGGTCCCCAGGCCACACTGAGGAAAGCTGTCCCACCTGATCCGGAGGAAGACGCTGGGGATGGGCTCGGGGGGGGGGGGGGGGG